TAAAATTTTATCCTGTTTTATGGTGACCCTTCGGAGGCCAACTTCGGTCACAGACGTCCAGGAGGGCCGTCATCCCTCCGTATATGGCGACGACTCTCTGCATCTACGCGACTTTCATACATTCCCATACGAACTTAAATTCTTCCATATATTCCTCTTTATAAGTGTTCTAGGAAATGTATTCAAGATGTTACAATTCATTAACGTAACAGATTATAAAAACTACATTTAATTAAAGCTTGTAAATGAGAAAACTACAATCTTGTTTACATTGGGTTATAAACGAATCACGAAACTTTTTTATTTGTATTTTTGTATGTATTGACATAACTCAAAAACTACTTTGCCGATCTTTAAAATTCTTTCGCCATTAAAAAGCTACATTATCGTTTAGTAACATAGATTATACCTTTTTACTATTTTTAAAAACCACGCAGACGAATCTCAAACAACAGTATTCGAATACATATAATAAGAAGTAAATAACTAAATGAAAGTAAGCCGCCGCCAGCTGCCGGAAACCCGCGAGGTTTTCGCAAACAAAATACGACCTTAAAATAATACTATTGCGTATCGTATAAAGGCAACGACTTGAGGGCAATCGGGCTGTCATGGTCCGTACAACGCAGAGCCCAGGACAGAGCGAGCTGGCGGCGTATTGTGAAGGCCCTCGGTCCCACTTTGAGGACATAAAAAAGTAGAGAGAGAGAGAGAGTATAAAAAAAACAACTGGATATTAGATTAAAAGATAACATTAATTACTACTGTTGGTACATTTAAATATTATCGTTACAGCTCAAAGAGTTTTTATTTATCCTTTCTTCGATTGGCATATTTGTAAATTTGAATATAAGTCAACTTGAAAACGTAAAAGTTTGTATCTAAGAAAATCTTAATAAATAAAAATCTACAAATGCGTAAGTTTGTAAAAATGCCCCTATGACTAGAGCTGCTAAACGGGTTATTATGAAATTTGTCACAGATATAAATCATAGTCTGGAAGAACATAGACTAAGTTTTTTATTCGCGCACATTATTGTAACTTATTATATTAAATGACAAAAAAGCTATCTTTTTTAGACTTTATAAAGAAGCTATAAAATAGACACGAGATAAGTTAAAGCTAATTTATCTCTTAATACGTGTTAGTCAATTAAATTACCTGTTTAAGTAAATCTAGTTTTACTATCAAGTATTTTGTATGTTAATTAGATGAACCTTACTAATATTATAAATATGAAAGTTTAGACGGATGGATGGATGTTTGTTAGTGTTTGTAACCTAAACGGCTGAACGGATTTTAGTTAGTCTGGAAGAACACATAGACTATTCACTTTTGTTTTTTACAATACCACGAGGATGGAGTCGCGGGCGGAAGCTAGTTTTTAAATAAATTTGTCGGATTAATTGTGTCTTATTCTAATAGCCTTGTCCAGCGAGTCCGTCCGCGTGGCATAAAACAAAAGTGAGTAGCATATGTGTTCTTCCAAACCATGCTCTGCCTCTATCATATACCGAATTTAAAACTCACGAAATCTGTTCAGCTGTTTAGGCTACAAACTTCCATCAATTAAAACTTTTGTATATATAATATTAGTATGATTTACCTTAAAGTAAAGCTACTGAACAATATGTTTTCAGTCTCTTAGACGTAATCTAACCATGTATGTTTTTGTTTAATTTAATAACACGGGTGTTTTTACGTTTCGTTTGACGTCATACAAAATAGGTTCTTTTTTGTTGCGACGCTGGACGATAACGTCTTATATGACGTAAATAATCCTATCAATGTTCTGAACGAAGTAATTAAACGGGTCGGGCATGTGCCGACGCGACACGACGAACAGACAGACAAAAAACAAGAGGTCATCGACCGTCGGCGCATGAATTGTATTCGCGGAATTAATTGAGATTCGATGTTACTTTTGTTTGGTTGTTTCTTTGTTTGTTTTTAGATTTCCAAGCGATACAATGTATATGGGTCTTAAATACTATGTTGCATTGTAAATTAAAATAACTTTGACAACTTTTTTATAGTTTTAAGGCATATGTTTACCTAAATTGGTAGAACAATAAAGTAAACTAGACAATGCACGCGACTCCGTTTTAAATGTAAATTACAAATAGTGCCAACTGTGATAATCTAGCTTTTTAATGGTGATAGAATTATTGATATACGTTTAGTAGTTTTTAAGTTAATGCGTTTCATTAATTTTTGTCAACATCTAAATTTTTGTTTTTTATATATAAAATTTACAGGTGATATTTCGGGTAGGGTTGTACAGAACTCCGCTTCCGCATCCGCAATTGCGGAACTTCCGCAAGAAATTTTATCTTCGCATCCGCTCCCGCGTCCGTTATTTCTTATGAGGAGTTATATGGAGGTTAATTTACGTCTTTAACGCGAGTGGGGAGATTAGGTATCGTTTACGCAGCCCGCGCGGGCATAATAAGTCAACTAACTATAATTTTTATACATTATATTCGCATTATAAACTGTATTTTGTAACTATGTCCCAATCTGTGTTTTAATTAACGTAGTTTTAGTTTTTATTTCTTTAATAAATCGCGATTAATACTTTATTAATGACCTCCGCTTCCACTTCCGTTAACCTCCGCTTCTGCAGAGATGAAGCCTTTCGCCTCTGTATCCGCATCCGCTTCCGTTAAAATGGGCTCCGTTACAACCCTAATTACAGTTAATAAAAGCTCACATCTACAAAGATCTTACGAAATTAACTATAATTGTAGTAATTTGTACAATATTATATTTGCATAAATTTTAAAACACTAACACTTCGTATCGCTATAATTTACATATCATTTCTTATTTGTGTTCGATATCGAAAATCATTTAGTACGTCTCTTTATTTGCACTTAAAGTGGTTTAAAAAACCCATCACATTCTAAACCTTAAAACTAGAGTGATAGAGGCTAAAATCAAAAATCAAAACATCAAATTCAAAAGCAGGTCGGCATTAGTGTTTATAGTATTCGTTCGATAAAAAATTTTGAACCTTATACTAACGTAATAAGAGTCATATTACAATTAAAGTAGTATTACGATGAAGGCATATATTAACGTTGTTATGTATTTTATATCTCTATGTGACATTTTCATGTCTTTATACCGGTATTTAAATGAAGTTGTCCGTCTTAGAGAATTTTAAGTATTAACCTTACATAATATACGTTTCTATAGCAAGTTAACTATAGAAAAGAAGCAATGTAACGAAGAACAAGGTTAGTGGTTTCATTTCTTTGTTATTGAGATGATTTAAAAAAATCTCCCCTTTGTTTGCTTACACTTTTTTAAAAGTTCTCTGGATTCCGCGGTACATTCTATCAAATTTTTATCAGTATCTTTCTCGTGGTTTAGGAAAATTAAAATATTAACTACAATATTGTAGTTTTACGTACCAACTTTCACACACCACTCCGTCTATATGCAATAAGAATAGTAACCTATGTGTTGTTCCGGACTTTGCTCGACGTCTTTGCCAAATTACAGCCAAATCCATTTAGCCGTTCTGATGATATCCATCCATCCATCCATCCATACATCCAAACTTTTTTATGTAATATTAGTAAGTGGTAAGTAAGATAAATTAAATAAAACTTAAAGGAGAAAAAATAGGAAACTCTTCATAACTATGTAAAACTAGATTTATTTATCTCTATGTGGTAAAATATGCTTTGTAAAGCACATAAAGTTGGTATGCAACATCTATTTAGGTATATTCTTATATTTATTGAGGCGTGAAGGCGTAAGCTTTCGCAAGAACGCGTTGATGTCTTTCCTTAGATAAAATCAGCGTAAATAAACGTAAAATATTTGAATAAATCGATCGTATTCATATCGTTTATAATAAATTTATTGTTATTACTGAACAGATATTACTTTTGTCTTTATTTGAATAAGTATATTTACTAACGGACACTTTTATAGGATATTAAATAAATTAATGACAATTAATTGGTTTTTAGAGGTGATAAAAAACAAGCGAATGCAAATATAAATTTAGACAATATATTTTTAACAGACGTACTTATTCATTGCAACTTTTTGAATAAAAATCTCATATTAATAGCTTGTATAAGATTAAATAAACTTATTCTTGAAATACCAAGAAAAAAATTGAAAACTTTCAGTTTGTAGCATTAAGTAAGTTAATGAACGTAAGGCCTAATTGTCTGCACTTGTTTTAATTATTATTTTTTTTATAAGAAAAGCGGGTTTTCGAGCAACGGATCACTTGATATTATCCGATGCCCATGAACATCCGCAATGCCAAGGGTACTGCAGATGCGCTGCCGGCCTTTAAGGGAGGAGTACGCTCTTTTCTTGAAGACCCCTAAGCCGTAACTGTTTGGAAGTACCGCTGAGAAGAGGTAAGGAGGTACGAGGTAAGAATGTACGTGAAAACCTCGTCGTTGTTGTTTTAATTACAAACATCTATGTTACTATTTATATTGTTTTATAGTATCAGTATAATCAAAGCTAAGTTACAAATTCCCAACTTTCGTTCTATAACACACTGGCAACTTAAAAAAGTAAGTAATTTTTAAGTTTTACACTATACTAAAAAAGTTTACACTTGGTATTATACAATATTCTTTTAATTCTTTTGAATTATTTCTATCCTTTGTAAAACTACGCATTTTAACTGAGCACAATACAACGTAATTAGTTATTGACATCGAAGACCGTGTCATTTGCGTGTTAACAAAACTACGCATGAAAATAATAATGCAAATTAAGAGATTATTACCGTTTATAAGAAAATAATTACTACCATATTCATTCTAATTGTATAATACAAAAATTATTTACTTTTTTCTTAATCTTAGTTAAGTTATGAGATTGTTTTCAAGTTAAAAGGGATTTAATTAAACTTTTCATGTAAAAATTATCTTGCATTGTTCTACTGCCTTTAGAAGTTCTCGAAATGTCTTTAAAAGCTTTTCCTTATTCACATAACAGAAAACGGAAAGCTTACCTCCAATACATCCAATAACAGTCGCCGTCACAAACAATCCGAAAAGCGCACTTCACTTAATAAAATTGCATATTCCTTAATGCACACACTTTTGTACCAATTTCATTTACAACACTTTAAATTACCACTTGTATGCACTTAATTCGATACACTTTTAAATCAAATAAAACATGAAACGTCAACCTCCTACAAGAGTTTCTCTTCAACTGACGCCAGACGTTTCCGGAATATGTTTGCACCTTGATGCACCATCTCGCTCGCACTTAGCGGTAACCTGCAAAAGAGAGAATAATTGTAATCAGAAAAGCTTTAGTAGTGAAAATGTTAATGTCAATTTGATTGTTCCCTCACGTATACTCAGTCATTAATTATACCAATCTAGACTTTAATTGAAACGTTATAGAATCAGTTTTTGAATAACCTCATGTAACATTCAACACTAGCTGTTGCTTACGACTTTGTCCGTGGAATTAAAAATAATAAAAAATAAAACATATGGTAGTCAAAATTTTGCTTTTTAATGGTGAAAGAATTTTTAAAATCTGCCCAATAGTTTTTAAGTTATTTCAATATATACAAAAATCAAAAAATCCAAATCTTTCCTCTTTATAATATTAGTAAATAAGTATAAGGATATAATAGTTATTTTGATCCAAAATATTTTCTTTTAATCATAATTTGGTGGAAAAATGTCGTATTAACTTTGTCCTATTCAAGGTCTGCAACTGCTCGGTATACTTCAGACCCCTTAAACGTCATCAGCTTGCGCAGATGTTTTACTATGTTTATGGCAGTATAGAACTCCCTTATATATTTTTCTCAGGTTTTATTCGTTGACATCTAATATCCGTTTCAATATGAATAAGCTTTATAAAACAATACGGGCTCACTTCCCGACGACGGGTGACGGGGGGTCGGGCGTGTGGGATATAAAAGACCCCGCGCGGCGAGCCGGCATGCATGCATTGGATAATGAGCCTGCGAATGTGATCGTACAATCGGGCACAAAGATGACTACTTCCAAATCATATGTTACAATTGTACTTGTTTCTAATTGTTGCACCGTCCAGGGTTATTTTTAAAGGTTCTTCTTACCCTTCATATATGCTGGAAGAGTACTGCTGTATTTTTTATTTCTTATATTACTACCAATAAATATTAACAAAGATAATCAAGACTATTATAAGTTAAAATAAATGGTCTAATTCAGATCTGGCTATTCTTTTTTATATTTTTTTAATTTCTAACAGTCCTATTTTATACGTGACTGTACCGTATTCAATAGATCATTCGCTACGAACGTGCCGTTGTCGCGTCGCTGACTGGGGCGCGGGGGGTGCGCAGGGGGTGCGCGACCGCGGGGGCGTGACCCAAACAAAACAACCGGACAATTCGTGCACGAGTACTCGTTGTTCAATAATTTGCGTGAATTAATTGCAATCAGACAATTAGGTAGCGTGCTGAGCGTGAGTTGTGTCGTACTCAGAGTCGTTATTTCTCATGATATCTACATTAAGGGAATAGTAACGGACTTTGAGTGTGGCAGTAGTTAGTGATGCCACCCCCAATTAACGTGCTACAAAACACCTAAAATAAATGACACATAAAGAGCGTCGGTGGCTCAGTGGTTTAAGCACTTGACTTGTAATCTACAGGTCTTGGGTTCGAATCCCGCCATTTACCAATGTGGTTTTCGATTTTTCAAATTTTCATATGTACAGAATTTACCCGACGTTCTTACGGTGAAGGAAAACATCGTGATGCCTGCACATATCGGCGAAGAAATTCAAAGATATGTGTGAAGTCGACCAACCCGTAGTGGGCCAGCGTGGTTGACTGTGGCCTAAACACCCTAATTTAGGGTAGGCTCCGAGCCCCTCGGTGGGGACATATAGTGAGCTGGTGGTGTGAAATGACACATCTATGATAGAAAACCATAGATAACAACGTTACCTAAACTACATTATCTTTACTAATAATATAAAGAGAGATTTATATTTTTGTATTTATTGAAATAACTCAAAACTACTGGGCAGATTTCTAATATTCTTTCACCATTAAAATGCTACGCTATCAGTAATATAAGCTACATGTTTTAAGGAAGGAAGTAGCTAGGAAAACCTAGTTTATATTAGTATGTGATGCAGGGAAAAGAACAGGAATCTGATAGAAGTGTCCCTAGGGCTGTAATTGAAGTTAAGTAGCCCGCCACTATTACGTGGATCGAATAAAGTTATTACGTTATTATCAAATAGCGTGGAGCGACGTCGACTAGTTTTGTAATACCTTTTTACTATGTAATCACACGTATTACTTGTTTATATAAAATACTAGCTTTCGCCCGCGACTGTCCGCGTGGGATTAATAAAAAACAAAAGTGAGCTTGTGTCCTCTTCTAGACCAAGTTATATCGCTATTTCATGGAAGCTGTTTAGACTACAAACTCTAACAAACAAACATCCATATAAACTTTCGCATTTTTAATATTACTATGATAATTTTAAGTATTACATCGTAGTATATTAACATAAAGAATAATTATTGTTCTCATAACTTGTTTAAGAGATCATTATTAAAGTCTCCTTTATATTGAGGCTTTATTATGACTCATTGTGATTGATAATTGCAAGAAAATTTAATTTAAAATATATCTAAGAAAGTTACTCTACAATTGTCACATTAGAAAATTAAATTATTAAACAAAAAAGAAACTATTGTTTGTCATGGTACTGTAACGACATTTTTTAAATATACGAAGTTATTAAATAACAATAACGCATTTGAGAAGTACAATCTAACAACGCCATCTACCGATCATAAAAACAAACCATTTATCAGATTTCAAAAATCACAAGCGTGAATTCGATAACGCGTATACTCTCTTACTTAATCAATAAAAAGGATAATCGATGGCGACAGATATTTACGCCGGTGGCTGTCGTCTCGGGTTACGTTCCCGCCGAAGCACGACCACCAGCAGGTAGGCTGACAAGATCTGTGGTTGAATGACTCGGACTCACTGAATGACTGGGACTCACTGACCGAGTGTAATTGAACTGGTTGAATTGGTAATATGACAGCGAGTAGATGGTGGTCATTTATTATTTAATAGTTGCTCTCGAATCAATATTAAAAAAAGTAGCCTATCTGTTTTTTCAGACTATGCTTTATGCCAAATTTTATCGTAATCCCTTCAGTCGTTTAGGCGGCAAACTTTAACAAACCATCCATCCACCTTTTCACATTTATAATACTAGTAAAAAGTAAGATTTCTTGATGTGCCGATTGAAAAATAAGTGGTTTTATTTTAAGATAAAATTTTATACAAAACATTTCAACGGACTACAAGCAGAAAAGTTAATAATTTTGAATGAAAAAACGACATACAATAGGTAACTTACTTTACTTTAATTGGCGTTTTACTTCACGAGGTGAATTATTAAATAACTAGCTGTTCCCACGCGACTTCATCCTCATAGAATTATTAAAATTTTATTTTATTGTTTACATGTTAAATGCCAAAGTGACATGACATGACAAACCTTGACAATCTTGCTTCCTTGATGTTGGCAGCAACTTATGGTCTCTTTCCCACATTAGGATTTTATCCAAAATATTTATCCTCTAAGTTTAATGGCGTGAAAATATATAGCCTAAAGCGTGACGTAAGTGTAGGGCTTTTAATTAAAAAAAGAATTGTTCAAAAATATGCTGAAATTGCTGACATCTTAGACAACAAAGAAGTGTGTGTTTACGCTTTACTATAATAGTACAGATTAAAATTCTAATTTTTAAAGATTTTATTAATGTTTGTTATTCCGTATCATTAAAACAACGTAACGGAAGACGTAACTAAAAGAAAAAACGTTACTAAGTTTACCTCGCAGATGAAGTCAGGCCTAACATACATCACATTACAGACACGATTATAACTTTTTTGCCGTTCCTTGTTTATCCTACCTTTCAGCCTTCTTTTTTAGTTAAAGACGATGTTGTTCATGCGTTCTGACAGCGAGATCGTATAAGTTAATGGATATGATTAATATCAGATTAAAACACCCGCGGCCTAATGTTACGGCCGACGGAGCAGTTCTTTTATTTTGTAACATATCTCGTGTGTCGGGCGGCATGTTTTGTTGTATTGTTGATACTACGAGTACAATAGGAAAGTATATATAGCTTAATGCGGACTGTACATGATCTATTTATGTACATGTTTAGAGCGGACACACATTTTACTAAACTATCGCACAACTGTAGCGCGATAGTCGATTGTTTGGCAGCAATTCAACTGTTTAGTTGCAAAACTAAAAATCGAGTGTACGCACTTTCATGTCATCTCATAGGTATCAAGATTAAATAGTTGGGCGACAGTAATTTCAGGTGTGCACGCTTTTAGTTGTTATTCTATGGGTCTTTAGGGACTGTAAATTGCTATACTTTTCAACCTTTTTTTATATGTTTTTAAATTGTGATATTTGCCAGTAATAACATACTATGTAACTTTTTAAATATCAGATAAGCTTGCTTATTTGTTTTAAAGATAGTATACTAGTTTAAAAGTTAGAAAGACACTCAAAAACTACACGTAAATTACACTAACTACGGAATCCATCATTTGCAGTCAGCGTTCTCTAAGTATACGCGTGCAAACATTTCTACGTACCGGTTGCAAGAGGGCCGGAGGCTGGAGAAATATCTGCTTGTACTTCATGACAGGCAGTTTCACCTTGGTTTTCTATTGCATTCATTGTCGTTTCATTTCATTCGTACGTGTATTTTCGTAAATTGTCAATCTATGATATTAATTATTTTGTACTATAGTACAAGTCAAGAAATTTTATTTCCTAGCCATATTGGTGAAATATTTGTTAGCAATTAGTTTTAAATCATAGCTGTTAAGGTAAAATTATGAAGGGAAGTGGATTTGAATGATAAATAGACGCGTAAAAAGGGAAAAATCTTTCTAAGCCCCTTGAAAGGTAGGCAACGCGTCTGATAGCAGATGTCTAAACGTCAGTGGATTTTTTGCTCATTTCATCAACATTGTTTACCTTAAAAAAATTCTACACTTCATTCAATACTATGTGGTCAGTGAATTTAATTCTTTGATTGTACGATTTACATAAAACAAACAAATATAATATACACATCTTTGTATTTCAAATTGCTACGAATCTTAGTAATAAAAGAAACGTTATTTCACGCTTAATTATAGATTGAGGAAACACATGTGGGTGTTATTTTACTGTTGAATAAATATGAAAGCGTCAATA